AAAAAAAAAAAAGCTCTTATTTATGGTAGCGCTGCGCCCGGAGGAGAACGCCGCGTGAAAGACCTTTGTAAGATACCCTGCCTAGCGAGGGCGAGGACAGGGCTGTCCTCTTTCTTTTTCTTTTTTTTTTTTTTTTAATAAAAGAATGCAAGAATGTTATGTACAGAATGACTTTGTACAGAGTTTTATTAATAAAGCCTGAAAATGAAGTTTTACACCCCGCTGCTCTCTGGAGAGGGGTTCCCCCTCAGCACCCACCCTCTCCTCTCGACGACAGCAGCTTTCCCAGCCCCCCCCTGGAGATCAGAGATCAGCTTTGGTCTGCTTTACCCCCACCTTTGAAGAGAGTGAGACCCCTTCACTCTAACTGTGCTGGCCTCGGGGAGACTCAGGGCCTCCTTCCCAGCAGGAAAAGGGTACGGAGAGCCAGAGGAATAACAGCGGGGCGGGGGGTGTAAGGGAAGCATTTAGGGGAAGGAGCTCATTTTCCCCTCGCCTTAGGTCCATCTTGCCTTGGAAAAGCCTCAGCTTGTCGCTGCAGCAGCTCAAGAGAGGAAGCACAAGGCAAGGGAGAACTTCCCCAGCCACCGTGACGCGCCTCCCTCCGGCAATACGGGCCCCAGGGGCTTCGCCGGGCAAGGTGGTTCCTGGAACCGGCACCCCGGCGAAGAGGAAGTGCCGAAAGCCCCTGACGCCGGGGAGGGAGGAAGGAAAGGGGCAGCCACAGCCCGGTTTAGCCCAGCTTGGTGACCGAGATGCGGTCAAAGTACCCGCTTCCTCTTCGGCAGGAGCCTGAGGGCAGCACAGCCCCGGCTGAAGGGCAGGATGAAGCCCGCAGCAGCGACCCTGCCTGGCCCAGAGCAGGAGGAAGCTGTTCCGAGGCGTTTTCCTCACGTTATCCTGGCACTCGGCCTCGCTGTGGCTAAAGACGAGCCCTGCTCCTCGCTGCAGGAGGGGAGCCAGGGGAGCGAGAAGGCTCACTGGGAAGAGGAGCATCTTCCGCGAGAGCTCACTGCCCTGGAGAGGAGCTGTAAGAGCAAGGATGACGTCCTGCGGCTCCCAGAAGTGCTATTTCTGGAGGTGGGGGCGGGGGGGGCGCTGCAGGGAGCGAGCAGGCTTGTCTTGGAGCTGCAGCATCTTCTCCCCTGCCAAAAGCAGCGCTGGGTGCAGCTGGGGAAGCAGGGGCTGGGAAGGCCAACCCAGCCCGAGCCCGTTTGCTCGTCGGAACTGCTCTGCACCGCTCCCGCCTCAACCCTGGCGGGCAGAGATCCGAGGGATCTCGGCCAGGAGCAGCTGCTCATACAACTGAAGTGAATCAGACCAGAGCCCAGGACTGGTTTCCAGAATTTGGCTTTACTTCGCAGTACAGAAATCATCTGGAGCCTTCAGGAGACACGAGAAGCACAGGCTCTGTCATATCGATACCGCAGTGCCGTTTGGTCCATCCGAGAAGCCACCAAGGTACAGAAAAATACTTCCACATCTTGCCTGCTCTGTAATTCGTTCTCTCAATTTTATTAAGATTAAAACACAAAGGAGCCTCAGGCACAGCTGTGTCCCAACCGATGTAAACAGTTTTAGAAGCTTAAGTGGAGGTTAAGTTCTGTGCCCAGAACTAAGCCAACATTTGCTGCTACAATAGATGTGGGCTTTGTCCATAATACAACTTGCCACAAGAGTTAAGATTGATGGGAGAGACTTTAGGGGTGCTGTCCACAATAATGGAGTGCTCAGTTTCTAATTTTCCTCGGTGTCAGGTTTGAGTGACAACCGTCACATCTACTAGCTCACCAGAAGCACGTCACTGTGGAGGATGTTTACAAATGATTAAAAAGACAAGGTAAGACACAGCTGTCAATGAGTTATTTTCCAATCTGCACCAACGTCTACGTCTGCAAAAAGAAAAAAAAAAAAAAAACAACCCAACGAAACAAAAACAAAACCAACCCAGGTTCAGTCTGCCTTTTGCTTACGAGGTTAGTCATTAAATCAGTCAGTAATTTGCCAGATTCTGGACAGCAGCCCTACTAGAATGAAATAATTAACACATAATATCCAAAAAGGGGAACATTACCAGTGCAGTACTCTTCAATCTCTCAGAGATGGGATTACAAAAGCAGGCCTTACAATATTGAATTTCGTACAGTGTTCATTAAGTTCCTTATATATTCATATTAGCCGATTTAAATTTCTCCTAATTAGAGACTCTCATTACTGCTGCTCCTCCTCCCCATAGATATCGTTCTTCTTGCGTTTCATCTCCTCAAAGTCGAACTCTGATCCCATCATCCTCTTGTAAATATCTTTGATGTCGTCGCACGTCGTCTCGAAGTGAGTGGTGGCGTCGTAGGTGCGCGAAATGAAGATCTGGAAAGAGCAGGAGCCGTTGAGCATCGAGCCGCCCCCTCTCCTCGCCCCCTCCCAGCCCGAGCGCGGCGCTCACTGACCTGGCTTTCGGTTCCCAAGTCGGTCGGTGCGAACAGGTCACTGATGCTAACGAACCTGGAAGAAGAATTTAAAACAAACAAACAAAAAAAAATTAAATACAAAAAAAAAATGAGCTTCAGAATGGTTTTAGAGCATCGCTGAGCATCAGTGGGGGTACAAGAGCGGCCGAATTGAAGGGCATCAGCGGGGAAGGCGCGGAGGAAACGCGGAGTTTCAACACCTCCGCGCAGCCCAGCGGCCTGCGCACCCCCTCTGCCCCCACGCCGCCGGCCCCAGCGCTCGCAGCAGAGGGGTGAGAAGGCAGCGAGGGGGCTGGTCGAGGGCTTACTTCTGCTCAATGGGCTCCAAGAGGTCCAAGGCCGGCTTGATTTCCTTCTCCGGGTCCGCGGTTTCCACGGTAGTGCTGGCGATGGCGATGTACTTCCCCTGCGCCGCCACGTTGTGCGCGGAGGAGATCATGCAGACGTAGATATCTGGGGGGGAGGGCAGCGCGGCAGCACGTCAGCAACGCGCGCCCCCGGCGAG